CTGAGCCCCCAAAATTTGTAGGAGTTGCGGATGTCGGAATAAATACTCGATCGGATTGTGAAAATCAAACTCGGTTCTATTTAATATCGACTAAACGTTACAATAGATTCGCGACTTGCACGTTATGTTGGAGCTAACCGGCGCACGTCTATCTCCTTTCTCCGAATTCTAACGTCTGCCTTTTCGGCCTCCGAGGTACGGCTTTATTATTTTGGCCACCGCTTACGTGGGCCAATTAGATATCGATACGCTAAACTCCGACCCGTTTGAGTTTAACGCTTTCGACCGTCGCTCGCGATGACAAAGGCATCGTCTTGAAAATAAATACATTACATGCGGAACACCCGTGGACGCGAGGACGCAAACACCTCTGACAAACATGGGATAGAATTCTCAATTCCTACATCATTTATTACATATAATATGCGAACGTTTTAACGACGCAGCGCATTCTTCAGCGTCGCAAGAGAGACCGGCCAATGTCCACAAAGATATAAAGAGAGGTCTGACAATAAGTAGTTGTTGTCCGTGTTGAGTTTATAAATCAGAAATCTATAAAAAGTCTGATTTTATTTGTCCAGTTTGATAACGTGAATTGGTCCTGTATTTTGTCTGATTAATGTCCATGTCAAGAATGTAAGTCAATTATAAAATTTCTTAAGTCAATAAATTTAATAAAAGATTGATAACCAATTTAACTCAAAAACACAAAATATAAGTAGTCGACAAGTGTTAAAATAAATGATGACTTACATATATCAGGCAATCTATATGAAATCAGAAGTAATTTGAAAATGAAACAAAGGCTAAATATACGCTCGCAACGGTTAAAAGTAGACTGAGTCATGGTATAAGAGCAAAGTATCATGTGGTAACAATTATTTGTAACTATTATTGCTTATCTGTAGCGAGTTTTTTCAGAATGACGAAATAGGAGGAATTGAGTACCTCAGTGTCGCTTTGAGAATTTAATCCATTTTCCTGTTCTTCAATTTCCTGTTCTTTTAACACTTGCTGGCAACTTATATCTCTTGATTTTTAATTAAATTGTAACTTATCAATCTTTTATTTTAGATCCATTGGATTAAAAAATTTTATAACTAACTTACATCCTCGCTGACATGGATATTAATCAACAAGATACAGGACCAATTATTCCCGTTATCAAACTAGTTATGGACCGAATAAAATAAAACTTTTTACACACATTTCTGACTCATAAACTCAACGTGAACAATAATTACTTAGACCTCTCTTTATACCTTCGTGGACACTAGCCGGTTTCTCTTGCGATAACGGTTCTGCGTATGTTTTTATTGTTAACTTTATAATTTTATTTTATACTCCCGACACTTTCATGCGTTATTTATTAATTAATTGACGTATCTTCATGCTAAAAAAGGCACTGTGTGTTGTCGAAACGTTCGCATATTATATACATATAATACATATATACAATACAAATAAATATAATTTATTCGTGTTCGTCACCTTCAACTATTTGTACTTAGAATAATTTGTAATAAAATAAGTTATTACATGAAACAAGCATTTCTTATTATTTTTAATTGAAATTTTTATATGTTTTGAATAATTTTTCTAAATATTATTTATAAATTCTGAAAAATTACAGGAAATATATTTATAATAGTAAATCAGAAGACAGACATATATGTAGATAAAAGTTATTCACGCATATCTTAATAATAGAAATTTATTTTAATTACAAGTAAAGCATCGTAAACTTAGAAAACATTAGAATCCTATCTTGTTGAATAACACTGTCAAGTTTACACTTTTAACATTATGGTATCTACGATCTTAACGTGCATGACCTAAGTGTTACAAGGCATTCGGGATAACAAAACGTTTGCTTACCTCGGAAGCCTAAGTTTCCGCCGTCCTAATTGCTCCTCTGGCTTGATAACCTGCGGTGGTGCTTGTGGCGATGATGACGGCGAAGAAGGGGTCGTAGTCAGTTCACTTTCCTCTAAGCTGCTGCTAAGAGCGGATCCTATTCTATTCCCTAGGCCCTGAAGGTACTCCCCGCTTCCTCCTAGAGCGGATCGCACAGACCTAAGAGCACCTCTGGTGCGTCCAATTAACGACGCCCCTCCATTGGATGGCAAAGCTGTTGTAACGTCTACCATATTCTGGAACACACATGCGAATTGCAATTAGCCTGTGAAAGCCCATACCTTCAAGAATCATAATTTAGTAGCCCCCGGCTCAAAACGTCTCTCAAGCGTCAAGACAACAAGTTATTTCTGAATTCATAATAACATGCAAGAGATATAAATGTATAAAAGAAGAAGTAAAATTTAGAATTAAAATCTTACATACCTACAACAGATGGCGAAGATATGCGTAGTGCGTATTTAGAAATACAAATATTTATCATACATTTGCACTTTTAATTAAAGCAAGAGCATTTCGTGACGCAAACGGATTAAACCCGAGACAATAGCATGGAATAGATTGATACGTAGCCAAATGTAAAATTAATACATGTACGTGGCCCTTGGAGATTCGGATTTTGCTTTTTCGAAAGCTTATGTGCGAAATAGAAACCCTTGTTCTTACAAAAGGAACAAAAGAACACGATAGAAGAATTATTTTAATGAGTGAAAATTATATTATTACAAACTTTTATAATTTACGAAATATAATTTCCATGAAAGCAGTTTCCGTACATGTCTCCGAAATCATGAATAAGTAGAATGAAAAAAGGTTTCAAAACTTTTCATATATTTAAAAACAAAAAGTAATAAAAGTAAAATAAAAAATATGAAAATAAAGAATGCACTTTTGTAAACTTTTTCAAGATATATGAATTAAATTACGTTTTCTAGTCTCAAAGTTCTCAATACGATAAAATGTAGTAACGATGAATTTATTTTGCGCGTTACGACAATAAGGAGGAATTTTAACAAGCGGATCTTATTCGACCTTGTTTGAATGCCGATCAAGAAAAGGTTTCTAATTTGCTGAAATAGTTTGCACCGGATTCCGATTACGCATTCCGACGTTTCAGCAAAGCAATTTGCGAAACTTGCGATCTACCTCGTCGTCTGTAGGCTCAATATAGTCCCTGCGAAACGAATAAGGCTGAAAGTAATCTCAGATAAGAGACGTAAGCTTCATTTCCGATGTATATAGGCCACTGCGACCACCTACTCATCTATGCACACGTGTACGCTATGCGTAAAACGATAACAGTGGATCGTAGTAAAAAGGGAGTTCAAGGAAAGATACGTCGACCGGAGGTGTTAAAATTAAAAATTTTGAGACCACCAAAGTTGTTCGTAACATTTCAGTCGTAAAAAAGTAGAAAATATTCAGAGTTCTCGTAAACGTAAAAACAAAAAGTAATTTGCATTGCCCGACAATTTATTATCACAAGTAGCTAATCAACGTGAAACCTTCTGTACTGCCACATGAAACATTTTCATGTCATTAGTTACTTGCTCCGTACTTAATTACCATTAATTACCTAAAAAATATCTCGTTTTATTTTATACTAACTCTGTTACCGTAAAAAAGTTAAAATATCATCATCTGTTAATCGGGAAAATCATGTAATCGACTTCTATTAACGGTAAATTTTCTTGTAAAGTCATCTATTATTGCACGTTTTAAAATAGTACATCAGTAAAAATACTTAAGTTTATCGATTAATCTATCAGCGTCATCACAATAATCATAATCAATCTAAATGTGTTTAGCGCTCGTTCATCCAATCACATATTACATTATATCGTATACGACCTTTTGCATTCATGCTTTCCACCAAATAGAAGAACGTGCGATATGACACTAGGAAAGGGCAGTCCATTTATATCGTGCTCCACTTTTTTTACAGACAGAGAGTCTTTAAAACGATTTATTTATTCTGAGAACTTCCGGAAAACGATATCTGGAATACTCATGTTCACAGTAACACTTTATAAATACACAATAATTTCTATTCGATGTTGCATAAAGTACATTTATCTTCAACTGTCAATAGAAAAAGAAATAATAAAACAAGTTAAACTAACAAAAATAAAGTCGCGAAAATCGGATATCTGGGCGGTCGTCTGTTATTGACTGAATACGTTAGACTGAACAGACTTTTATAATTGGCTTACCATACGTTGCGGTGACCGCAAAAGATATAAAATCAACACGGATATCCTTTATGGCAAGCCTTGACCACTGCAAATGAATTTTTGGTAAAATTCATACTCTTCTGGTACCTACGTTTATAAGAGCTTTTATATGATTACATAATTCATCATTATATGACAATATATAATTAGTCGCAACAACATATGTAATACACTCAGAAAGATATAATTTTGCTTAAAAACCTAATTTACATGTTGATTGTAACACATAATTAACGTAGTTAAAAGATTTTGATAACTTAAGATTTAAACAACTAACTAAATTATTGATTTCAAATGCATTTTAAAAGCATCGAAAATTTAATTATTAAAGTATATAATCCTGAAATTGGAAAGTTACAATCAATTCTAATTTTATTAAGGAATTCCGAAATTTATTTCTCTTTCATAAAAGGTAAAAAATATTACATGACAGGTATAAGTTTTATAAAATGAAATCTATGAAAATGTATTAAACTAAATTTTCAGGGAACTTCTTTTCCAAAACAAGCAAAGAATATATCTGTTTATTATTAATTAATCAATTGACACATACATATCTGTAAGCCTCAAATACATATGAATAACTTTTATTTATCTATTACCGTTAGAACATTATGTTGCAAAAATTTTTAATTGGTCAACTTATGATTTTGTTATTACATTAATTAATAAGATAAAAATATTTAAAAAGTATGTTAAACAAAAACAATTGTAAAGAATATATAATAAAGAACCGCCGGATTTTATTATACAACACCGCAAATAAAACTCTTTTCACAGTGTCTAAAGATAGATCATCGATTGCGTTTACATGTCTACGGTAAGTTCGACGTCGCGAGAATTTCCGATTAATGTGGGCGACGCGAGGCCGAAAGCATGTAGTATCCATAATATTGGGAAATCTGTGTCAAAGATATTACTTAATATTCGAAGTCATTTAAATATGTTAATCAATCTTGAAAAAAGACCATAAATTAACAATTGGAAAATTTACCAATATTAATAAAAAATAGTTAATGTAAAATATGTAAATGTAATTTAAAATGTTAAATATATAGCACAAGCTGTTAAGAAATGTATCTCAATGTAAATTAAATATTTTCTTCAGAGTATCAATTCTCTATGTAAGAAAAACTATAACTAGTAGCAAATAATAAAATAAACTATAGAAAATAAAACAAAGTTACTATTCAAAGAGTAGAACTAATATCTCGTGAAACTTTATTAATTTTAATCATTCTTACGATTTATGCGATACACGGAGAGAATTTTTTCTTAAAAATTATCTTGAAAATCATGTAATTGTAGGACAACGTGGCATTTTGAAGAACCGTAGGAGAATTTTTTTAATTTGATCATTCTACTAGTAAAATGTATAGTAAAATTTCAAAACCTCTCATACAGTTCTTCAAAATGCTACAATTACATAATTTTCAGGGTAAATTTTAAGAGAAAGTTCTCTCCGCGTAGACATTTGTAATATAAATTTCTGTTTCAAAATAATAAATAATATATTGTATTCATTCTTAAAGTTCTGCACTGACTATGATACATAGAAGACATTTTTCTAATCTCGGAATGAAACTAGATAGCATATTAACACATACGGAGAGATATAACCTTTATATCAGTAACATAAAGTATGTGTGATAGAAGAAAAATATTATAAGGAGCAACGACCGGCACATAAACAGCGGATAGCAAACAATTGTCTATGAAAAATTCATTATATTAGACAAGCGGATTATGCGGGAGTGGACGATATCGGACAGCATGTGAACGATTGTATTTCACAGTGGAGCACAACTGCAATGCAGCGTTATCTATATTATGCAGTTCTGCGCTATGCGGGACGTACAGACATTCTTAAGTATTATAGGGGGAAAAAGAAAAAGAGAAAAAAAGAGATATTCTTTGGCACATTTGTGAACGCATACAATGACAAATCGAAAATACAAACTGTACCTACATATATAGATGCAAGTGTGGCAAAATACAATTTGTCACAGAAAAGCGTCCCCGACAAATACGTCGAGTCAAAACAGCGTGACATAAAACTCGAATAGAACAGTCGACGCGACAGTTTCGTCGTTGTCTGGCGAGTCGCACATTATTAACGCAAAATATGATATAATGTATTCCACATGCAAAACTAACGTCGCAAACACGTCAAACAAGAAACGTCCATAATATCGCTTAATAAATGTTGCAACAGTAAATTTGCGTGTCGAATGCCGCGTAGTCGTATTTGTTAAAACGCAAACCAGAATTTATACTGTTCTGAAATATTTTAAATGCAACTTCATACATAATTTCTTACTCCCTCGGCTCATAAGAAATGTTTTCCAATATTCTGCATATATAATCTGCGTATTTGCATCATGTTATACGAGTGTAAAACGAATCTATGTGGCATTGTTATAAAAAGATGCATCAACATGTATTTTATCATTTCTTTTTAAAGAAATATTATGTTACCACCCAACAGGTCATTGCATTGATAGTAATTAACAACTGTTGCTAGGCTACAGATACTAATCTACACATACAATTGATGAATACTTAAATATTTATAATTGTCAAGTAATTATGAAGCCAAACAATCATTATTTTTACTCATAAAATATTATTACAATGTAGCAACAATCAATCCAATAGTGAAAGGGTAAAAAAAATTGGAGACACATACTAAAGACTATGTGACACAAATGCTTCTTATTAAATTGATTTTCAAGAGTCACATGTGTTATCGACTCTGGTATCAGCGTAACACAATTTAGTATATGCGATTTGCATATTTGACGTATATCTTGTATATATCGTAAGCATATCAAATATATCACGAAACAAGAAGTACTAATATTATTTAATTTGTTGTACGTAAAGATATTAAGTTAAAAATATTCAAAAGTTGACACTATATAAAATCAAAAAATCACAATACAATTGCGTGAGTATAATTAAAATTAAAAACATACGATATCTTACGACCACTTTAAACATTCTTGTTCAATAAAATCGAAAAACATACAGAGACCAGAGGCTTCAAACATATTTATATGTTCTAGAAAAAATAATTACCATAAGTTAGATATTAAATAACTGAACCTGACATTCAATGAAAAAGTTATTACAGTGCTCAACTTTTATAAATATTTAAAATAAGGTAATATTCAGTAAAAACAAAGCCCATTAGCAGATAGATAATGAACAATTTTCAAGCGACATAAGCACAGCTGTCGAAACAAAACAATATTCTATCTACCTGTAAATTACACTTTATTGATCGAAGTAAAGAGTATCCTGATAGTAGATACAAAAATTATAGATAATGTTTTAAAACATTAACATGGGAAATGATATAACCGGATAAAAATTAAGTAAGTCAAGTATTTGTTGGAGCATATTGCGTGTTAACACATGGAACTTTGATAAAATTCTTTGAGTTAAGTACCGTGCAGAAATGAAGCTCGGGATCAAAGACGATCACTGTCACCTTCGCCGAATGTCCGTACAAACACGTGCAACACTGCTCTTGACATACTACTATGGACTTGCACTATCGCCAGCTTTGCAGCTACCTCGGGGCCCATTGGCACGTAACGTTACATTACCCCTCCAGTATACGATCGGATTAATAAAGGCGCATGCGTTTATCGCGATCAATACAACGTCTCGATTTACCGGCACGCTCATTAATTCCAGTCGTGGAGAAATTCGCCACCGTATACATACTGGCAGTCGATACCATGCCAGCTAACAATAAATTATCCAACAAAAGTAATTCAATATGTTATACCAATATTACTATAATTTGATATTACAGACATTATATCCAATAAAGTATAATAAGATTCCAACATAATATTATAAATGACGGAAACAAATTACCGTAAAAGTTTTTTCAGAAAAAAATTAAAGTAAAAACATTTATTAGTAATAAACATTTGATTAGACAATAATTCTAAAAAGCCGTACCGTATACTCTCTTAGAATTTCTCGCAAATATTTTTAAATAACTCTTATGCTCTTGTTACTCTATTTACTGAAATTTTTCGCTTATTTATGTATTATCCAATATAAACGAATTTTATATAATTATTATTTGAAACTTTGAATATATTAAATATTACCATAATATTCATTATTCATTTTATATAGAATGTTTATGTGCGGAAACGGTACATTTTGTAACATGCATGTTGGAATTTAAGAACATATAGTTTCGCAAATAAACATAAATTTTCATAGATCTATTATTTGAAAATAAACGGATTAAAATAGATTAGAATCACGAGACACGTGTCTCGCGCCAAGTATAAGCTAGCTAGAACCGCTTTCCTCGCGCTTATTCCCTCAAACGTTTTATAGAATTACTTGATAACTATTGCAAATTTTACAAAATATTATAGCACTTTTCTGTTCAACCGTTCTACCTGTATACGAGCGGATGGACACCTTATTCGTAACGTCCTTTATATGTGTATACATATATGTATGTATGTACCAAGGTTGGGAACGTTACCTTAAAAAAATAACGCGTTACCTTTACCGTTACTTAGAAAGTAACGATTCGTTACTTTTTTCGTTACTTTGTTGAAATGCTAAAGTAAGATGTTAGATTATAAAATTACATTATTATTTAATAATCAATATTAAAACTTAAAACTTTAAACTAGTTTCTATATAGCAAGTCATCGAGCATACAGGAGCTCGATTCTTGAATTTGTTCGAAGGAGAAACATATGTATGTGAAAATTCTGCTCTTACAAAAAAGTTGCAAATTGATTGGATATACGCGTGGCTTTTGACCAATTGACTTTCAACTTTTCTGTCAGAGCAGAATTTTCGTATACGTTTCTTCTTCGAATGAATTCAAGAATCAGGCCCCAGAATCGAGACATCGATAAATGTTCACAGCACATTCTCATGTGACATTGACTTCCAGCGCCCAATACCGGAAAATTTTTGTCCAATCAAGAACAGTGCGCGCGACCAACTCACGATCTATTGAACAGATATAAAAGATAATAAGGAACTAAAGTAACGATAAAAGTAACGACTGAATTCGTTACCGTTACTGTAAAACTGTAACGACGTTACCGTTACCGTTACAGACATAAAAAAGTAACGATCGTTACCGTAAAAAAGTAACGAAAATGGTAACGGCGTTACAAGTAACGCGTTACTTCCCAACCCTGCAAATATGTATGTACATATGTATGTATGTACACTAGGGCCGGTATTCGTAGTCAGATCTTATACTCAAGATCGTGAATTTACCTAGAGATGCTATGAAATGCTGTATGGAACATTTCATTGGCTACGGAGTATCTAAAGATGATCTTAAAACAGTCTTGAATATAAAATATCTAACTATGAATTCTGGTCCTAGTGTACATACGAATGTTCATATGCACACGAAAAAAAATTATGTTTCAATAAGATCAGTGTAATTGAAACTACAAAATTCGTGACATCACCTTAAAAAATTACCTTTTTTAATAAAAAAGGTTTAAAAAGATGCCAAGTATAAGCGTCATCCAATTAAGAATTATATAGTTTAATTATCTGGATATTTTTTATTTAAATTTTTTTTTTATTTTTTCTCCCCCTCTAAAATATCTTCTCTACAAAAGTAATGATATCATCAAATGACGTCAACTAAACTGAATATTTATACAAACTAGGTACTTTATTTTTTTTTTATTAAAATGTTATAGCCAAACAATCGAGCATAAAATTTTATGGGAAGAAATAAAGGAAATGATAATACACTGGTCAAAAAAATTAACGCAACAAGAAATTTACATCAAAATTTGGCGAAATTCAAATAAGCGTAACTTCGCGAAAACTGGTCGAATTGAAAAGTTTTTTTTTTTTCATTTTATAGGGCAAAGCCTCTGCTTTAAGAAGCTCTTATTGGAATTTGCATTCACTCTTCCCATTTCCCGGAACTTTCTCAAAATCATGACCATGTTTTTACTTTAAAAAATTGCACACTTTGACGCATTGTGCGGAGTGTAGTAATTTTTCTTCGCCAGTTCTGCTTCCGGTATCAAAAAGTGTATACTTTTCTCTTCAATTTAAAAAAAAAAGAAGTTACTGCGATTTTTTTTCGCCAAGTTACAGCTTTTTGAAGTAACCCTTGTTTTTCGTTTATTACCGTCGACATCAGCGTAACCTAATGTGCACGTGGAGATTGCCGTTCGGATTTTGCACATCATGTGGCCCTGAAGAGGACTAGTGGTGTATTCATATCGAACATACTGGGATATGATGGGAAGAAGGCTGTGTGACTTGTAGGATGTGCAAAATCCGAACGGCAACCTCCACGTGCACATTGGGTTACGCTGATGTCGAC